GATCTCACTCAAGTGTCCCCACCTAGCCAGCACCCAGAGAAACAGGAACACCAGTGTTCACCTTTCACCTGTTCTCCAGATGACATTCTACAGATGGTTTCTCAAGGCTGGAAGTACTTCAAGGAGAACTTCTATTACTTTTCTCGTGTCCCAAAGACCTGGTATAGCGCCCAGCAGTTCTGTGTGTCCAGGAATTCACAACTGACTTCGGTGACCTCAGACAGTGAGCAGGTGAGTGCTATTTCTACTGGAGGTATATTAGTAGCTGCATTAGGCAGCATGGGCAAGATTATGCTGCCATGACAAAAATCCCCAAATATCAGTGACCTAACAATGAAGGATTACTTCTCACACTACATGTCCAACAAGGGGTTTTGCTCATTGTGGTTACCCAAGGAGACTTCATCTCATGTATGTTTCCACAATTGCTGAGGCAGGAAAAGGAAACATGACACATTGTGTATTTTGGGCTCTGCCTGGAATTAACACATCTCTACTCACATTTTCATTGTAAAGCAAATGATGTAATGCTCCTAGCTTCAAAGAGGGTAGGAAGGGACCATCTTTCTGGATGCCCAGAAAACAGAAATATTTGTAAACAGCATTATTGACACCACAGAACCCAAGAAGTCTTCTACCTGGCGAGGCAGGAAATTGAACAAACCCCTTCCATTTGGAAGATGTGGTAGTAGTGTAGGCAAGAGCTTGGTCCTGGGGTCAGAGTCTAGAGTCCCCACCCTGCCTCTAACTAGTCCCAGATGAAACACAAGTAATAATAGTACCGGTTTCAAACAAATAACAATACTCAAGTTATTCAGATCAAGTAAGTGCATACAAATGTATAGCACCTTGTACGTACGAAGTGCTCACTACATTTAGATATCATTGGGTCATTCTCCTGGGGTCCCTGTTCTGGAGTTTAGCTGATTCTTTCTTGTGCTCTAGCACCTGCTTCCTGAGGGTCAGAAGGCCTGAGTCCCGAGTCCATTAGTTGTAGGGCAAAGACAAATAATTAGGAAGATGGACTCTGGGCTCTAAGCAGGGACAGGAAAAAGCTTGAGAAAGGTCAGGATGCAAGTGTGTCCGTGGGTTCAGGGGCTGACATCGAGGACAGGAGAAGAACACCCAGAGTGACAGGTGCTCTAACTCTGAGTCATGGCAGCATCTCTGCTCATTCTGTCTTCCCTACAGGAGTTTCTGTACAAGACAGCAGGCGGACTTTTCTACTGGATCGGCCTGACCAAAGCAGGGACTGATGGGGACTGGTACTGGGTGGATGAGACTCCATTCAACAAGGTCCAGAGTATGAAGTAAGGCCCCCAGAGCCCTCCTTCCCAGCATGACTTTTTTGGATCAGGGCCAGGGTAGAAGCCTGGGATGATATTTCCCTCTGACTATAGCATTTGTGATCCTTCCCTGTCCACTGGTGCCTGGAGCACTGAACCAAAATCCAGCTCACTTCTGTCACTAATTGGCTGTGGGGGCGGGGCATACGTGTGGCCTCTCTGTACCCTCAGGGGTTTGGCAGCGTGGCTGTCCTGCCAGCTTCGGCAGGGAGCCTGGTCTACGTCTACATGTCCCAGTGTGGTTTGTGTAGAGCCATGGGAGAGGTGGGCCGCTTCAGTCCTAATCTGAGGTGATGGCAGGCTTAGAGGTTGACAGCTCACCAATTCCCTTCCTCTCAGGTGTGGGTGCAAAAACTTGTGACATTATCACCTGGGACCAAAGCTTGGATTGAAGTTACTCCTTTCTTCATTGGAAATACATTTTCCTTTTTTTTTTTTCATGTGATAGGTTCTGGATTCCAGGTGAGCCCAACAATTTGGGGAACAATGAACACTGTGCCAATTTAAAGATGTCCTCACTTCAGTCATGGAATGATTCCCCCTGTGACCAACCGTTCCGTTTCATCTGTAAACGTCGCTATATTCCATCAGAACCATGACAGGACTGAGCCCCAAGCTGGCACCTTGAGCCTCAGTGCTTGTCCAAACTCAAGGAAGTGCCACTCGTCCTCCACACTCCAAGGTGACTTTGCACCTTAACTTTCCTTGCTTCAAAAGTGTCCCTTATGCACCTGGAGTCCATCTGCCTTGGCTGGAAGTTCTTCGACCCCATAGAGGGAGCTGGAATGGAAAGATTGTGGGTTAAAATGGGAGGGGAAGGTGAAGAAGATTTAGAAATTCAAACTGCCTCAGGGGATGGATCAGGACCCATAATTTGGGGCACCCCCTGGGGTTTTGCTTCTTGTTGGCTGAGCTAGGTAATGTGTGTGTGTGTGTGCGTGTGCGTGTGCGTGTGCGTGTGTGTGTGTGTGTGTGTGTACCTAGTTATTTTTTGAAAAAAGTATTGTGCCTGCAATATGGTGACAGGACTTGAGGGAGGTCAGAGTAGAGGCAGGGAGAGCTGTTGGAAGATAATTGAGTCCCTTCAGAGAAGCCTCAGTTTCATCACATGAAAGCTGCTTCAGATGCCCAAGCAATTCTTCTGCTACTGATAGCCAGCAGCTTTCCAGTGGATCCCCCAAAGTCCCAGTTGCTTGCTTAGAGGGCCGTATTCTTTGGGAAGACTCTGCTCTTGGGGATCCTGTCCGTGCCTCCCTCTTCATCGACATCCTCTTCATCCTCAATAAAATGCTGCCTGGGTAAAGGCCTCCCTCTGTCTGCACGTTTCATTCCTGGGTGTACATCTGCTTTGCTAGGCATGAAGTTCTGGGGCATCCTCAGGAATTGGTGGGGGTTCAAAATGAACAAGGAGTAGAAAAATCCCAGAGAATAAGACCAATGCTTATCCCTGGTTTTATCAAAGTGAAGGAGAGTGAGGTCTCCAGTGTCTTTTTCTCTCTCTCTTTTTTTAAGAGAAATGTTTTTATTGGTTTTTTTTTTTTTTTTTTTAGAGAAAGAGGATGGGAGAGGGAGAAAGAGACACATTGATTGGTTACGTCCTGGGAATTGAGTCTGCAACCTGGGTATGTGCCTTGACCGGGAATCGAACCGGCAACCTTTTGGTGCACAGGACAGCCCTCAACCAATTAAGCCACACCAGCCAGGGTGGTCTGCAGTGTCTTGACTTTCTTGGTCTTTCCTCTCAGATGTTCACTGGAAAGTCTATTCTCTGGTTTTACTCTCAAGGGGAAAACTCCTCAGGTTTCCTACTTGTCCCAGAACTCTGTTCCCAGGAATTGGGTTCAAATCTCAGCCCAGTGGCTGAGGCAGGAATCCAGGCAGTGGGCTGTCTTCCAGGCCGTAGACTTCTTGTTTTGACCTCACATGGTAGAAGGGCCAGCAAGTATAAGGCCACTAATCCCCTTTATGAGAATACCACCCTCCTGTCCTCATCACCTCCCAGCGGCCACACTTCCTAATGCTATCAAATTGATTGTTAGGATTTCAGCATATGAATTTGGAGGGGACACAAATACTCAGGCCATAGCAGTCACTGTGCGCGGCCCACACTTAAGGATGATGGCATATACTATACAGAAATGATATGTAATCTTTCCGTATGGGAGATTTAGCTATTTGTCTGTTTATTCAAGCATTTATTTATATCTATGAATTCGTAGATTTTATACTTTGGGTTATAATCCAATAATACTATATATATTTTCTTGCTCAAGTCCTTCCAGCTTTGGGAGCTTCTTCCATTCGGCCCCTGTGTCCTTTTGATATATTTGCATCATTTTTTAAAAACCATCTCTTTACTTTCTGACAGTATAAGATACCCCAGGATCATTTTGTAGATTTCCTGCTCCCATCCTAGAATCAGATATTTCTCCAAAACATCCTGGCTTTTTTGTTTGTGTGTGTGTGTGTGTGTGTGTGTGTTTTGTTTTGTTTTAAGAATGGTATTAGAAACCAAAATGTGGGTGTTGTTGCTTCTCCTTGGCTGAGATTTCTAGGTAATGCAAGCATGGGTATCTAACTGGCTTTTGAAAAGACGATTATGCATGCAATATGGTGACGGGACTTGAGGGAAGCAAGACTAGAGGCAGGGAGAACTATTAGGAGACTAATTGGGTTACAGTTGGGTGAGATAGTGGCCTGCATGGAGGCCTGTGATGGGAGAGATTACAGTTTATGATATAGGATGCAAACAAACAGCTGTAGCGATATACAGGGTGTGGTCAGGAGAGGCCCAGAGCGCAAGAGCCTCTGTTCCGAGGAATTGGGGAGCAATCCCCTCCTGGCACATGGATGTGTTCACCAACCAGGAACTTGAAAGCTCCTCGGAATGAGAGCTTTAACAACTCCATCTCGAGGCCCTCTCCTGCCTGGAGGTGGGGGTGGGATGGGTTGGGGTGGGGTTGGAGAGGCAGGAGCTTGCTCTTTCTGGAAGGGACCAGCTCCCACCCTGAAGCCATCTAGGGGTCCACCCCTAGTGACCTTATTAGCATAAACTCAAGGGTAGTTGAAAGGGGCTTGCTATGAATAACAAAAGCACTATTACCCAGGAAATGTCATGGGCTTTAGGAGCTCTGTTCCATGAACTGGGACAGAATCTAATATATGTTTCATTCTACCACAGACCTTACCTGCTATGCCAGCTGTGAGGTCCTGAGTGGACAGTGAGCCCCTGCAAGGGTCTAGGCGGCTAGGATTAAGTCAGCCATGGGTCACAAGGATTTTTTTCTGCAAAGCTGGGAAGGAACCTTTGATCTCCTCCTAAGTTGCTGGTGAAAGTGTTTGTGATTTGGGGGCAGAGGCTAGTGTTTGGGGGCTACGCTGGAGAGCAGATGTTGGGGTGATGGGCCTGAGGGGAGGGTGAGGACTGGTGTGGACTGGGAAGAGGAAGAGGATAGGGCCTGGGCAGACTGGTGCCTGGGTGTCCTGGGGGGAGGGGCCTTACTGGGGGACTGCTGCAGAGTCAGCGGGGAGGGGAGAAGGAGGAAGGCAGAGTTTAGGTGTGGTCGGGAGCATAAAAGTCCGGGGATCTCAGCTTCCCTCCCACCACTACGGGCCCACAGCACAACCCTTCAGGGGCTGAGGCGGGGAGCAGCACCGGAGGAGGAAGGAAGCAGAGATGAATGGTGACAAGGTCCGCTTCTGCAGAGACAACCAGTCTGTCTCCCTGCACCCCCACGGTGAGGACACTGGGGGCTCAGCCGCCCTCAGTCAGGCACTGGCTTGCTTGTCCCCCAGCCCTCCGTCATTTTCTCAGCACCCACTTGGCAGCCCAGAGCTCCCTAAGCTCATCACTATGTCAGCCTCCAGAACAAACAGGCAAGGGCAGAAGGTGGGTCGGGAGAGGACAGAGAGGCAGGGCACCCTCTAGGCTCTGCACGGAATCCCCAGGATGGCAACCTGGCAAGAGAGAGCGTGAACTTCGAATTCAGAGGGACCTGGTCTTGAATCCCATCTCTGTGCCCCATGAGGTTCAGGGGATCAGCTCCCAGGCTCCCCCGCACAGCCCTTCTTAGGACACGGACAGGGGCCTTCTGACCCAGGCAGAGGGAGTCTGCAGGACTGATCCATGTCAGTTTGTGGAGGAGGCAACAGCCCCAACGACCTGTGAGTCTTGCTCTGGTCAGGATTCATGGGCAAGACTGGCCCTGGGACTCCGAGGTCAGGATTCTCGCTCTCTCCCTCCCATCCTGCCTCCCTCCATCCTTCCCTCTTCTTTCATTCAAATCACTCTTCTGTGGCCCTCCTTGTCCAGGCCGCGTTCTGTACCCTGCACACCTCCAGCCTTTGTGTTGCTACCAGGCTTCATTCCCCTTCTCCGTGATAAGTGCTGGTCTTCTCATCCCCGTCAGACAGGCCAGGAGACTGAGCCCGAGGGGCTAACTCCCCAGCCCGCACACTCCTCCTGGACACCGGTGTCTCCCCCACAGGCCTGAACTCCTCGGCAACGGCTCCAGCAGCCCCCAAGATGTCAAGGCTTGTTCTGGCCAGCCTGGTCTTTATGGTCGTGATCATTGCCACCTCTCTGATGGCTCTCTTTGTTGTGGGTAAGCTCCTAGGTAATCCGAATCCCACAGGCTCTCTCTTTCCTGGAAAGAGGCCACTGACCAAGGGGAGCCCCCCAAGAGTAGAGGCCCAAGAGCAGAAGCTCCGAGGGGTACTGGGTGCCACCTCCCCCGTTCTGGAACCTGACGGGGGGAGAGGGCAGCCCATTCTCAGGCTTAATGCTGAGGGATTGTGCTGACCCAGGAATGGGGTGTCTCAGTCCTACAGAAACCAAGACCTGCACCGGAGGCCTATGCCTACTCCCAAGGGCTTCTGGGAGACAACAGCACCTGGCAGTTACCTGTGGAACCTAGCAGTGAGTACTCACAGTGGAGCGGAGGGGTGGGAGGGAGCTGGGGCATCCGGGTGCCCAGACCCAAGGATGGGCCTCTCCCCGAACACTAGCTGCCCTTGAATGAGTGCCACTATCCTCACAGAAAGGCATGATTTTTTTTTTAGAGAACAGCTTTATTGAGGTATAATTGACACATACTTAAATGCCCATATTTAAAATGTACACTCTAACGACTTTTGACACATGTAAATACCCATGAAACCATCACCACAATCAAGACAATGAACATATTCATCCTCCTCCTCCCAAATTTACTTGTGCCCTTTGCCATCATTCCCTCTCTCCTCCTCCCTTCATCCCCAGGCGACCACCGATCTACTTGCTGTAATATAGATCACTTGGCATTTTCTAGAGTTTTATATAAAAGGGATCGTATAATGTGTACTCTTTATCAGTCATATGGTTTGCAAATAATTTTCTCTCAGTCCATGGCTTATCTTTTCATTCTCTTAACAAGATTTAAATTTTGATTATGTATACTAGTAATTTATAGATTTCTTTCTTTTATGGGTTGTGCTTTTGGTCTCATATCTGAGAAATCTTTGCCTTTGCCAACGTCACAAAGACATTCTTGATGTTTCCTTCTGAAATGTTATAGTTTTGGGTTTTACATTTAGGCCTAAGATTAATTTTGAGTTAAATTTTGTATACAAGATTCATTTTTATGGCATATGGGTATACAATTGTTTCAGTATTATTTGTTGAAACAATTATGCTTTCTCCACGAATTGCCTTTGTATCTTCACTGAAATCAATTGTTCACACATGTATGGGTGTATTTCTGGATTTTCTGTTCTGTTCCGTTGATCTATTAGAGGCCCCGTGCACAGCATTCATGCACTGTGTGTGTGTGTGTGTGTGTGTGTGGGGGGGGGGTGTCCCTCAGCCCAGCCTGCACCCTTTCGCAGTCCGGGACACCTTGGGGGACATCCTTAGCACTGTTGCAGAGGCAAGAGAGGCTCCTGCCACCACCCCTGTGCTCGCCAGCTGCCCAGCTTCTGGCTAAATGACTCTCCCCCTCTGGGAGTGCACTGACCCAGGCAACTCCTGCGTTGAGCGTCTGCCCCCTGGTGGTCAGTGCACGTCATAGCGACCGGTCGTTCCACTGTTCTATTTGCATATTACACTTGTATTATATAGGATTTGTCTATTAATATGACTCTTGATGGCAGCTAGTTTACAGTAGGCAAGTATTTTAATCTTTCTGCCCCACAGTTCACTTGGGGTAGACCTTTATTTCATTTTGGGGCTCAAATTCTCAGGTGGCCCGTCTCCAGAGTCTTGGTGGCTGCAGGGAGCAGCAGGAGCACTTGAGGAGCACTCAGGGCTGTGTCGCAGACATTCCCCTTGGAAAATTCAAGAACACTCTGCTTGGCTCATATAAGTAATGTTTCCCTATGTAACGGGCTCCTTTGGCTGCCTTCTCCTCCCTCCAGATCCCCACCGCTTTGGGGTGGCAGAGTTACAAGAGACCCTCCAGATGTTTAAAGACCACGTGGAGAACTCCAGCACCTGGACCATGGAGATCCAGATGTTGATGTGCAGAGTGGACAATGTCAGTTCTCAGATCCAGATGCTCGGTGGTCATCTGAAAAATGCCAGTGCTGACATCCAGATGGTAAAAGGCGTTCAAAAAGATGCCAGTACCTTGAGTTTCCAGGCCCAGATGTTAAAAAGCTCCTTGGACAGGGCCAGTGCTGAGATCCAGAGGCAAAAGGGAGATCTGGAAAAGGCAAATGCTTTAAATTCCCAGGCCCAGAGTTTCTTAAAAACCAGTTTAGAAAACACCAGCTTTGAGCTCAACATGTTAAGCACAGGTTTAGAAAATGCCAACACTGAAATTCAGGCGTTGAAGGCAGGGTTGGAAATGGCAAATGCCCAGGCCCAATTGGCAAACAATAGTTTAAAGAATGCTAATGCTCAGATCCTTACTCTAAGAGGCAATCTGGAGAGTGTCCATCATTTAAGGGACCAGAATCAGGTGTTAAGTGATAGTTTGGAAAGAACCAATGCTGAGATTCAGAAGCTCAAGGGAAGCCTGCAAAATGCAAGAGAGTTAAACTCCCAGACCCAGACCCTTATAAAAGGCAGTTTAGACAACACCACCGCTGAGGTCCAGTCATTAAGAGGTCGCTTGGAAAGGGCTGGCAATGAGATTCACTTGTTAAAAAGAGATTTGGGAACTGCCACTACCCAGACCCAGATAGCAAACGGTCGCCTAGAGCAGACCAGTGCTCAGATCCAAGGATTGAAAACAGAACTGGAAAACACCAACGCCTTACATTCCAATATTCAGGTGTTAAACGATCAGTTGGAAAATGCCGGCAGGGAGATACAGATCCTAAAACAAGGAATGAAGGATGCTGAGGCCCTGAACGCCAAGACCCGGATGCTAGAGAGCAAGCTGCAGGAGGCCAATGTCGAGGTTCAGAGGTTGACAGGGGAGGTAGCGAGCACTAAAGCACTAACTGCGAAAGTCCAGGAGCAGCAGCGTAGCCTGGAGACCCTCCGTGCAGCCTTCGCTTCGCAGGAGCAGCTACAGAAATCCCAAAGTAAGTGGGAGGGAGGGGTTGGCCTGGGGAAGGGACGGTCTCTTGGGAGGGTGGAGTCTCTGGTCCCTTTGGCCTTTTGCTTACTTCACCAGGCATCCCTCTGGGAAGAAGTGTGGCTGCTATAAAGGGGCCAAATCCAACCAAATAGGCTCGATGTGCCTAGGGCCTAGGTTGTGGTGGAGGTGGCATAGGCAGCAGAGTCCCTGCTTTCAAGTTGCTTGTCATCTGGCCAGACTGATACTTGGGGGGGGGGGGACTATGTATGGTGACGGGGTGTGGAAAGACAGTGGGTGCTAGTGGGGCCAGGCAGCTTTATCTGACATCCTGCTATCACTAACTCTGATCAAGTTGCTTACCTTCAATTTTCTCACCTGCAAAGTGAGGACAATAATATTCGCCTCACAGTGAGGATTAAATGAGTTTACACATGTAGAGCATTTAACACAGTATCCAGCATTCATGTACTCATCTGACAAACATTTTTTCAGGCCCTATTTATGCATCAGGGGCATACGGATGAATAAGGTGCGATGCCCGCCCTTGAAGCTCACAGGCTGGAAGAGCAGCCTTGATGAAAGACATGCGGAGAGGCAGAGAGGCGGAGAGGCGTTATGAGTGTTATGTGAGAGTAGGTCTAGGACAGTGATGGCGAACCTTTTGAGCTCAGCGTGTCAGCATATTGGAAAACCCTAACTTAACTCTGGTGCCGTGTCACATATAGAAATGTTTTGATCTTTGCAACCATAGTAAAACAAAGATTTATATTTTTGATATTTATTTTATATATTTAAATGCCATTTAACAAAGAAAAATCAACCAAAAAAATGAGTTCACGTGTCACCTCTGACACACGTGTCATAGGTTCGCCATCACTGGTCTAGGAACTGGGGGTGGGCGGGAGGAAAAGAAGGGAAAGAAATCTCCTGGGGGCCGATGTCCTCTGGTGTAGAGAAGGGATCTTCCAAGGGGCAGGGGGAGGAGATCTTTCAGAGAAGAAAAGATCCAAAGATGTTTTGTGGAGAAGATGGCCCTTGAACTGAGTCCTAGTAGGTGAAAGCTAGTAGGTGTTTGACAAACAAATAGGGTAAGAAAGTAGCAGGTTCACAGGCAAGGAGTGGATGGAGATAAAGTCAAGGAAATGAGTGATGCCATGGGGTGGTTGTGAAATCTCCCTGTAGGGAGATGGCAGGGAATTGAGGTGAGAGGACTGTCAGGTGATAGTAATGAGCTGGGAAACAGGATAGTATAACCAGAGAGCAGGAGTCCACAAAGCTGCCTGAGGATCTCTGGAGTGATGGGGTGAGGTGTTCCTGGCTGCCTCCCTTGCATAGTGGGTAGTAGGCTGGGGGTGCAGCCTCCTGGGCCTTGCAAGGCAACAAGCATTGCATGGTCTGTGACACTCCATGGTCAGTCCCTGGAGAGGTCAGGAAGCCAGCTCTCAGATATCCACAGCCAGCCCCTGGGTCTCTCTCGTCCCCACCCTTTGCTCCAGATGAACTTCTCCAGTTGATCCTGCAAGGCTGGAAGGTCTACAACAGGAACATGTATTACTTTTCTCACGTCAAGAAGTCTTGGCAGGAGGCTGAGAAGTCCTGTGTGTCCCAGGGAGCCCACTTGGCCTCCGTGACCTCTGCAGAGGAGCAGGTCAGAGCTTTGGGTTTGGGATGGTGCTGATGGGGTGGATTTGGGATAAGGGCCATTGATACTTTGGCTTTGCCCCTCTCAGAGCAACTGTGGCAGACACTTTCATGTCACCTCATCAGTCAGGGGGCAAATATTTATTGAATTCCAGTGAGCATCCAGCACTGGAGGTAGAAGCACTGACAGCAAACCCCAAAAGTCCTCAATGAATGGGGGCCACACCCAGAGGCCCACAGATGTCAGCAGTGAGGAAAGAGAGGTGGCACCAGGTGACTGCCCTTGAAGTGTTGGAAACAATCTTCCCGCCCATCCCCTCATTTAGCCCCTCAGCCTCCTCTCTAGTTGTCAATCTTGACTTTAACATCAGTTAATCCAATGGCTATAGAGGGTCCATGAACAGGAGACCCAGGCTTCAGGGCAAGGCCAGATGCACAACAGGAGTTTGAGGACCACCAAGGGCATTATAGCTCTGGGTGGCTAATTTGCCAAAGGTACTTATCGGCACTCACTAGGGTTATTGACAAAGTAGGTTTGGCCTAGTTCATTTTATAGCACCGCCCATCCCTGTGTCATCCTGAGACTGCTTTTGTGTATCTGTCAAAGGACATGCTATTTTGTAAAACAAAACTTCTTAATAAACCATGGCCAGGTCTCTCTCTCTCTCTCTCTCTCTCTCTCTCTCTCTCTCTGCCAGGTCTCTTTGTCTCAGTAAAGCCACACTCCTCATTAAGTCAACATGGGAGAAGCTGAACTTCCCTTGAGGGGACCTGGCTGCTGCCCTAGATCCTGGACAAACCATGGGAGGTGCAGGGAGGGACCCGGCTCCTTCAGAGGAGTGGGCTGCATGCCCTGGGCCCAGGAGGCGGTGCCCTGGACTCCTCTCCTACATGTTGGGGAAACCAGCTCCTCACTCAGGGTCAAGCAGCACTGCCTTTTCTTTCCAGGCATATCTGACGGAGTTCACACGGTTCTCCGACTACTGGATTGGCCTCAACGACAGGGGCACGGAGGGCTTTTGGCGCTGGATTGATGGGACGCCATTCAGTAATGCTAGGAACAGAGTGTGAGTCCAGTCACTGTCTGGTGTTGTCCCAGGTACTGTCTTGGGCAGGCCTGCTTAGTGATTCCCTGTCCTGTGTGTGTATACCTGCCCACTGAGTGCCACTGGTATATGTGTGATATGTGTTTGATGTGTATATGGTTTATGTGATGTGTATTTGTAGTGTGTGTGATTATTTATGATGCGTGTGTAGGTTCTCCGACTACTGGATTGGCCTCAACGACAGGGGCACGGAGGGCTTTTGGCGCTGGATTGATGGGACGCCATTCAGTAATGCTAGGAACAGAGTGTGAGTCCAGTCATTGTCTGGTGTTGTCTTGGGCAGGCCTGCTTAGTGATTCCCTGTCCTGTGTGTGTATACCTGCCCACTGAGTGCCACTGGTATATGTGTGATATGTGTATGATATGTGTTTGATGTGTGTATGGTTTATGTGATGTGTATATGTAGTGTGTGTGATTATTTATGATGCGTGTGTACAGTGTGTGTGTGATTATTTATGATGTGTGTGTACAGTGTGTGTGT